TGTACTTGCCTGTGCACTTGGTGAAGCAGTAACTTCATCTTCAAAAACACACTAAATAAATTTAACATTTAGGTCACTTCCTGTTTATCTTTTTTGGAAAAGGCCATGAATCAATTTCAACACCAGTAGATTTTGCAACCACATATGAAATATTAATAGGAAGTCACAACAGTGTTCCTGCATTAAGAGAGTGACTACACTTCAGAAGCAATTCATGGTCTGCAAAGTGCACTGAGACCCCCAGTGGTCATGAAAAGTGCTATATGCCCTTTTAGAACTTCAGGTTCAGATTCTGTCCAAAATCTGGAAATGTAAAATTGAGACCCCCATCAAAACACTGGTTCATAGAATTTGGACTTGGAATTGTATCCACATTGACTATTATGAAATGACTATTATGAGACGGCATAATTTTAAGGTGATTGGAGGAAAGTATAGGGGAGCTGTCAGAGGTAGGTTCTTTACACTGAGTGGTGGGTGCGTGGAATGCGCTGCCAGCAGTGGTAGTGGAGTCAGATACATTAGGTACATTCAAGCGACTCTTGGATAGGCACATGGATGATGATAGTAAAATGTAGGGTATGCAGGGTAGATTAATTTTAAGAGTAAGATAATAGGTCGGCACAACATAGCGGGCCGAAGGGCCTGTACTGTGCTGTACTGTTCTATGTTCTAATAACACAACACAGTGTGAAGCAGGTTTTTAAGGCGATCTCTGGGAACTTGATAAAGCACTTACTTGTTGTCCTCCTCTGTAATATTGCAAAGTAGTCATCAGGGCTAGAGCCCTGTGCATACATACTGGCAGTGCACTAATTTTATATGCAGAGTACTGTTTATAGACTTCAGTATTGCAGAGATCTTGCTGCCTTCAACCGAAACTGTACAGCAGTCAGTGGACAGCATTTTGGCTGTGGGATGCGTGGGGATTTGGGGCGCTCGAGTGCTCGCAGAACGAGGGATGGACTTTGTCTCTTCATTTTTCCAGCCGCAAGAGCTTTTTTTTTTAAAAGATTCATCCACAGGAGGAGGGTGTCGCCAGCATTTATTGCCCATTCCTAATTGCCCAGAGGGCAGTTAAGAGTCAGCCACATTGCTGTGGATCTGGAGTCACACCTAGGCCAGACCAGATAAGGATGGCAGTTTCCATCCCTAAAGTACATTTAGTGAACTGGATGGGTTTTTTTTTCCAAACAATCAGCAACAGGTACATGGCCATCAGATTGTTAATTCAAACTCCACCATCTGCCATGGTAGGATTTGAACGTAGGTCCCCAGAACATTACCTGGGTCATTGGATTAATAGTCCAGAGATAAACCACTAGGCCATTGCCTCCCCACTTGAATGACAAAACAAATAAAAAGTGTATAGGAGACACAGAGAAGGTTAAGGAGAGGAGACAGATAAGAAGAATGCATGAGACAAAGGGAAAGAAAGAGAAAAAACCGTGTGTACACTGAAAAGCATATCTGAGAGAATGAGACTACACACAAACAAAACAGACTGTGAGCGAGATTCGAAAAAATATGATTAAATAAGGGAAGACAAAAGAATCAAGAGAATAGCAGTAAAAGGTAGTTACAGTTCTGAAAATGTGTTATGCTCATCCCCAAATGGTAACTCTGTATCTCTCCACAGATGCTACCAGACCTGACTTTCTCCAGTATTGTGTGTTTGTTACAAGTATACAGAAAGTTTGTTTTCTTATTTTTTTGTCAGTGAACAGAGCCACAGGATTTTAATTTAGTAACATTTCTCATTATAGAACAGTTTATCCTGACCTTTATGGGACACAGTCATCGTAGATGCTTTAGTATGCCTACCACTAATATTAGATGATGAAAGATCTGAACCAAGTTACATGTTGTTCTGAATCACAATATTGCTTGCAGGAAGTTGCATCATTTGATGATTGAAGGCCACAAAAAGAACAAGCAAAGCATTCAGTTCTCTTCCAAATGCATATAATTCACATAAAAGACACAAAGCGGGACAATAAACACTAGTGCCTCAATTAACCCATCATTGAAAAATATGTATTGCAACTTTAATGGAAAAACTGCCAGCTCCATTAATGCTTTCTATACCAGAAGGAACAGTCAATGTACCTAGTAAAGTGTCAGTTGGGCCGCAGAGTGCTATAACGTTGAGTTCTAACAATAGTATTCCAAAAGATCAATGGAATTGGGAAGGTTTTGTACTGGATTACCAACACAAATTTATAGGTCAAACACTATATCATGGACTGTCACCAATAAAGCTGCTGTTGTTGCAAGAGTCAAACCAGTTCATTCACCTCCTTTACTGAAAGGAATTTGGCACCTTTACATAACTCTAGCCCTGGATAGAGTCCCTGAAACTATTCAGTTGTACACTTACAATAAAATAGTCCTTTGCTGCCTTGCCAACTTTAACAGCATCCTGAAAATAAATACGTTAAAAAACATTGGCTAGGTTATTCAGGAGGGAAATCTTGGTAGAATTTTTGCCACCCATTCAACAGGTGCAGGGAATAAGGTTAAGAAAACTCGTGTTTTAAAAAAATACATGGCTTACAGGACTGAATAGACATCATGGGAAACTTAGTCAGTACACATGGGAAGAGACAGCAAACTGATGTGCTAACTTTCACCCTGAACCGCAGTGTGCCCATTTACACTAAAAAGTGCTGCAATCACTAGGGAATTAAACCCTCAGCTATTTACAATCTACATTAACAACTTAGAAGAGACAGTATAATGTATCCAAGTTTGCTGATGATACACATCTAGGTGGGAATGGAAGCCAAGAGCAGGACGTAGAGCCTCCAAAGAAATATGGAATTGTTAAGAGAATGGGCAAAAAGGTAGCAACCGGCATAAAATGAAGAAGTTTATTTACTCGTAAGAATAGAGACGCAGTGCATTTAAAATGCCAAACTTGTGAACGTTCATGTTGAGAGATTTGAGCACACTTGTCGAAAATTTACAAAATGTTTAGCAAGCACAGCAAGCAATTAGAAAAGTAAATAGCATATTGGCCTTTCTTGTGAAGGGATTAGAGGACAAGAAAAATGTTCTTATGATGGCAAAAATGGACAGGATCATCAAGTATGGATGCCTGAGGCACCGCTAAATAGATCTGAAAAATCCAGAGATCAATTTAATAAATTGAACTTGATTTCAATCACCATACAATAGGCCCAGTCTTAAACACACAAAATTACAGAATTCTTAACACATCAGTAAGGTTACAAGTAAATCAACAGAACTGAACTTACTTTATCATTACAGGCAATGGCAAATACAGTCAGGCCAGGGTTCCACCACCTTTTTGCCCCCTGCCTCACTATGATTTCCTCTTACTGAGGAGTTGCTAAAGAAATTCCTTACTGGGTTTCGAATCACTGGGTCCCTATGCCAGGTACAACAGCGTGGGGAGGGGAGGATTGAAAAGGAAGGAGTTTCTCACTGCACTTAATTACAGAACTGCCCCTATATTTCCTCATTTGCCTGGCATTCCCTGTTAGCTTTCCGAGGCGGGGGGGGGGGGGGTGCAGTACACATAGGAAGCCTGGATCACGGCATACAATTCAAGCTGCATTCCTCTTGTTCTTCAATCCAGACGGTTCCATTTAACTTTTAAATTTTCCAAAATACCAAACATTACTTGCCAGTGGGCGATGTGACTTTGGGATCGAAATCTACTATAGATTTTAAACTTTTCTGGAGGAGTTTCGGGGGTTGGATGGTAGATGCATTGATACTGCACAGATCTCGGTTAGTGAAACCGAAAAAGGTGCAAATGCTGGAGAAGGTCAGCAGGTCTGGCAGCATTTGTGGAGAGAGAAAACAGGATTAATGTTTCGAGTCCAGTGACCCTGCAGTCACAGCACTGACAGAGGGTCACTGGACTCGAAATGTTAACTCCATTTTTCTCTCCACAAATGCTGCTAGACCTGCTGAGTTTCTCCAGCAATTTCTGCGTTTGCTTCAGATTTCGGTTAAATCTATTGTGGGAGTTGATGTATGTTGGAATTGGGCAAACCATCCTCCAAATTCTCGTACAGAAGCTGACGACACATGGTATTCAACAGCACAATAAAATTTACTTTTTCAAAATAAAAAGTCGCTTTTAAAAAAGCTTAAATTACTTCAATGTCCAAAGCAATTCCTAACTGGTAAGAGGACTTGATCGTTGTGCTTTTAAAGAACTGGCTCCTTCCCCTACTTTAAATAATTACGGGTAAACCTACCGTTCAGATGCAAAGACAGACAAAAGCAGTTTCGGGGCCAGAGTAATCGAGGTGGCCCCTTTAAGAAGAATGGCGTCATTGTGCTGTTGTGTTTTATGTTAATAACCTTCACGTCACCTTATTGACTAATACCAACTATCCAATAACAGCAAAATCAGCTGCTTTCACAATGGATTGACAGCAAGTCCGGTTTACAACAAACTAACTGAGATAGAAAATAAGAATAACAAACGCAAGGCTTCGCACAGGAGACTCAGAACTACAGTGAGCAGATTCCTTCACTTGATTTTTAAAAACAAACATTGACCAGAATAGTTAATCCGTTTCCTAGTTAGCATCCCTCTGGGGAAAAGCAGATAGTTACATATTTAAACACACACTCGTACGTCAATGCCCATTTCAGGTCGATGTTGTACAAGTGACTGGCCAAACAAGGAGCCTTGCATAATACACTGAAACGGTTCTCTTATACAATCTCGGCGTGAGTTAAGAAGTCACAGCAATGACAATTTACAAGGAGGAAATGCGGTAGGTATTGTTCAGTGGCAAACATTAATATATTTCCGAGAGAACAAATTATTTGCTCAAACTCCAAAAGGAAACAAACTAAAAAAGGATAATAAAGGTCCAACAGCAAAACCGCTAAATACCTGACAGCAACTGCAGCCTCAACTAACCCAAGCGGCACAAGCGTTGTAATGAGAAGAAAAGCTGACCTATAACACAAGGAAAGATGTCACAATGAGGGAGGGGAGGGATACTTACCTGCCTTCTCTCTCTCTCTCTCTCTCTCTCTCTCTCTTCCTGTGTGTGTCAAGTATTTTTGCAGTCAGTTTGTAAACAAAACGAGATGAAAAACAAAATTTTCAAAAGAAACTACACGGGCCGTTCAAGTGAGGTAGAACACATCTGTAAATACAGCAGGGAGGGGAAGAGTAAAGTACTGACTGCTTGTGTATTTTGTTTTTAAAAAGGCGTTCGTTCTTCTCAGAAGAAAGACTTTCCCTTAGCGAGTGCCGCTGTTATTTTGCACCCAGTTGGTCCCACGGCGTGTATCAGATTTTGGAATTGACTGAACAGCTGATCGGGGGCGGGGCCTCTTTGTGACGTAACCCATACCACACCACCAATCAGCGCCCAACTCACCCATCCCCACGTGACCTTGCGATTGCAATTTTTTTCCTCTTTACTGAAGGGAGATTATGCGTAAATCCAGGATCACGTCTGATGTCACTTTCATTGAGACCTGTCAGTTTTTTAAAAAAATGCAATAGTCAATGTGAAAACAGTGCTTTTTAAAAACTTTCTTTTAAAGTATAGGAATCTTTATATTTTTGTCCCTTTCTTTCCCTATAAATAGAGATTGTTCTTTGGCTACCCAGCAATGTCACTCAGTGTCAGAGGTGCTATGGGTTTTTCCCAGCCCCCAGCTCTGTTTGTCGGCGGTGGAGTGAAGAACAATTTGTTCAGATATCTAGGCCAGCGTCGATGCGGTGTTATTAGTGAGTGACAGGACACTCCAACCCTGAATATATTTCCATGAATGTAACTCCCTGTATTTTTTTTTGTCAATGGGAGCTTCTTGCATTGATTCTGTCCTTGGGAGGGCAAACTTGAAAAAAATAATTGCGCATCTATTTTGTAAAAGGTTTTTTTATGCTTGTTTTTATACAAATACATTTTGCAGGTTTGTCCACCCTATTTAATGCCGAACCGTATACTCCCCTTTCATCAGACTTCATTTCACATTTGACTTGGAATCGTGTGACTGGGGCATTCTGTTCGAAATTATTCTAATTCATCAAAAGGGACGAGGATGGTGGGGGGTAGTCTAAGACTGGGAGCCATCTCTTTCCCCTTCCTGTCCTACGCACTCTCTGTTATGGCAGGGCAGGCAAGTGACCTCTGCCCAGGTATGTGCCAATGCTGAGAGAAGATAGCATATGTCAAGGTCATATCACTGCCATCTGCAAGACTTTTATGGGCATAAACAGTGACACAGATTGCTAGCCCATTTGTTGCAAAAGAGTGGATCTGTTTGTTGCTTAAAAAGGAGCATAAAGCCATGTGGCGCTTTAACTTCCCTTGTTACTTCTCTTGTTCCCACTGGGTTTTCTTTGCAAAGTTCCCCTTCCCCACAAATCCATCTTTGATCTCATGAATCTCATGGCTTCTTGGCTCCCAAGATTATATCACTGGCAAGGCCATCTCTGATGCAGCAACCCACGCATTTCATCCCATCCTATCAAATTCCATCCATTATTCCAAATTAGTTCCACTATCAAAGGTGGAGATATGAGGAATTCACCCCTAGTTTCCTCACAAATTCACTCAATCTCCAAACTCTTGCTCTTCTGGCTCTATACCATCACCACACAAGTGCTGACTGTAGTTGGTTAAACTGCCCCCTCAAAGAAAGCCATGTCCTTTTAGAATAATTCACTGTCACCTTCTTTATATTTTGCCTCGCTATTGTCACCACCTTCAAATCCACTGATTAAGCATCGGGCACATTCATTTTCTTACCAGCGATTCTATTAATTTATCAGGCCGATTGTTAAGGCTCAGCCAGAACGTGCAAAACATTGGTATTCTGATAAATCCACAGATGAATGTCAAAAGTCATTTCATATCTATAGGCTAAACTTTTGCTTTCCTTCCACACAATTTAGGCTAATTCTCTGCTTAACATCTCACATTTCTGCTCTTATTAAATCTTTTCTGCACTGTGGTGCCATATGTTGACTCCCTATTTCCCAAAAACTAAAATTGCTTCAAATCTTCAAATCGCTTTCTGACTTTTCCTACTATATTTTTGTAGTCACTTTTCGCCTTATGTTCCTTTGCATTGCCTCAAACCAAGAACAATCTAAATACAAAAGTAACACATGACTTGTTATTTCTAGTACCAATCTTTCACTGTGTTCCTAAACCTAACCTCTACCCTTAATTTCACATTCATACTGAAAACATCCAACAATACCTGATCTCTCTTGACCTCTTTACTATCTTTCTTTTGTCAGATGCTTGTATGATATTCATCTTGAATCAAACACAGTTGCCTCCAGTCATCATTTGAAAGACTGAAGGCATCATCCTCCATTTCTGTTACACACTCCATGTGATGATCACTGATTCTATCCCTCTCCATGCCAGCCTTAACCAAGCAATTCACAATTTTGGTATCTTATTTGACCCTGAGTTGGGTTTCCATCCCCATATTCTCACCTTCTCAAAGATTGAGTCCACCTCCATATTATTTCTGTCTATTGTCAAAATTCTTACTTGTAGTTTTGAGATCTATAGTCTGCTCTTCCTGTAAATAACTCCATTACTAGTAACACTTTAATTCCCCTTATGAATAATTACAATAGAAAAAACTTACTGATAATCTAGAAGTAATTGGCAGTAAAAGGTGCAATGCTTAATGTCCTACCTATAATTAATAATTAATATTATAATCCATTAAAATTCACCTCATTATCAAAGCCAGAATCTCCATACACTGCACAAGCTGGGTCAAGCTCCCTGGTCAATGCCACTTTTAAAAGACTCATCTCTCGTCATATCTCCAGAGAACACAAGAAATGCGAACAGGCCAGATCATTTGGCCCCTCATTAAATTAGATCATGTCCAATCTTTTACATCAGCTGCATTTTCCTCCATCTTTCTGGATTATTTCGCCGTTAATTGAACCTGGAATTAACTATTTACTGAACACCCACAATTTCCTTGGATAGAGAATTCCAAGGGCTCACAACTGAACTAACAGAGTTCATGACGTGCTCAACAAGATCTGGTCTGTGGAGGATTTCCTGGATGACTGGAGTAATCATCAAACTGCCAAAGAAAGAGAAGCTTGTGACTGCAACAAATGGAGGGGCATAACACTGCTGTCAGTACCTGTCAAGCTCTTCAGTATGGTTCTTCGCAACAGCTTGAAAGCAGAAGTAAGATGGTACTCTTTGTGAAAAACAGGCAGCAGTCTGGGGTGACAGGACATGCTGTGAGCAGAACTTTGTGCTTGGGAAAATCATAGAGCAAAGCTTAGAGCATCAGAAACCACTTGCTATCAACTTAAAAATTGCTAGAGAGAGATGTGAAACAAAACGCTTCATCGTACGCTCCTGAGAACTGACATATAAGAAAACCAACTTGGAAAGGAACAATAGTTTATTCGATCTGAGAAGCGGGTGCTGTTAGTTGAATTTTAGTTGGAGCAGACAAAGAACACAAATCCATGGAAAATTATCAGCGAAATGCCAAAGAAGATCCTGCTTGACTCCCCCAGGAGCAAACTAAGGAATACCAAGCTGAACCATGATGTATCAGGCAACAGAAAATAACTGCCATTGCTAGTGTCCCAATTAACTTGAGAAAAAGGTTTGCATTTATATATCTCCTTACATGACTGCTAAACATCTCAAAACACTTTACAGCCAATGAAATACTTTTGTAGCGTGGATTCTGTTCTCATGGAGGAAACATAGTAATCAGTTTGAACACAGCAAGCTTCCACAAATGGGAATGTGAAAATGACCCAGCCATCTGCTTTTCTGAAGATAAATATTGACTAGAACGTTGGGGTTAACTCTCCATGCTTTTTGGAAACATTGCCTCAGGATCTCTTACATCCACCTGAGAAGGCAATTACAGCCTCACTTTAATATCTCATCTGAAAGACAACACTTTTAGCATTGCAGCAGTTCCTCAATATTGCACTGAAGCAACAGTCTTGATTTTTTTTTTGTATTCAAGTCCTGCAGTGGCATGTGAATTCACAACCTTCTGATTCAGAGACAAGGATGGTACCAATGGAGACACTGTTGACGTACAATGATCTGACATTATTTAGCTAAAAATATTATTGCTTAAAAAGACACATTTTATCGAGGCTCTTTATTTTGCACTCACCAAGACTGTTTGTAAGAAATATTAATTCAAGGGGAAAGCCAAAATTTATACTGCATGAGAGTAGAGTGCTGGTTGGTTGGCAAGTGGACTTTTTTTTATTCATTCAAGGAATGTGGGTATCACTGGCCAGCATTAATTGCCCAGAGGGACGTTAAGAGTCAACCACATTGCTGTGGGTCTGGAATCATATGGAGGCTAAACCAGGTAAGGATGGCAGTTTCCTTCCCTGAAGAAAATTAGTGACCCAGATGGATTTTGCCCCAACAGTTGGCAATGGATTCATGATCATCGTTAGACTCTTAATTCCAGATTTTTATTGAATTCAAGTCCTACCATCTGTTGTGGCAGGATTAGAACCTGGGTTCTATCGCAGGTTCTCTGGATTAACAGTCCAGCGATAATGCCGCTAGATCATCATCTCCTCTGATTGGTAGAGGCATTGCCATTGATAATGCAGCTTCGAGTCAGTGATGATCTAAACTCCACAGGGCCGTACATGTGCCTAAGATGCCTGAGTTCCAACTGCTAAAGGAAATCATCTTTGTCCAGCTCAAGGAAGGTATTTGAATGAGAGGAGGACAAATGGGGTGTTTCAAAGACTCCCTGAAGGCTTCCCTCAAGAAATGCAACATAGATGTCAACACATGAGAGAGCCTTGCTCAGAAGAAACTGAATTGAAGGAATCTCCTGTATGAAGGAACACAATTCTTTGAGGACACCCGTTGGCAAGACAAAGTATGGAAAAAGAACTATGGAAAGACATGCCATTGATCTCAAGGCCAAGGACAATTGAAGATTGGGCTCAGCAGACATTCAAAGACCCACAGCCATGACCAGTGACACGGAATTCCCTAGGTAGACAATCATAATTATAAGTGAGTGATTGTTGATAATGACCATCAGCTGTCAGCCAGTGTAAATGTTGGTTTCCCCCCAGAATTGGCATTCTTGCAAATTATCCTGATGATTAGAAGATGAAAAGTTTTTACAAAATGTGTCTTATTTCAGCACTTCTCAAGCTCTCTACCAACTTGATCTCACTGTACAGAGGCCGATATCCAAGTTACCCTTTATTTATATGTGCGCAGTACATGGATTCTGACCAGCTAGCTCAGAGCCAGTCCCGAGAATGAAGAGACTCTCTGA